TTCAATTAGCTTTTTGCGCAGATTGGGAACAAATGTTAACGAACATAATTACTAATAATACATCTTCTTGACTTTTAAGAAGCGTATTTCTCTCATTAGAAGTTAACGCTCGCACTTCAGGTAAAATCAGTAAGTCTGCTATGCCCTGACGGGAAAATAAATAAATTCTCAATTCTCCCTCTCCATGGCAACACACTGTTATGATTTCAAACAAGCTGTAATTGTGTAGAAAACGAGAAAAAGTCATGCAAAAGCCAGCGCCTTTGAACACACCTTCCGGACCAACGCATATACAGCATTCGAAGATTTTGAAACAAAGTGAACACCTCGAAATGGCACTGATAATCGTTCTCTTCATCACGTCTGTATCGGCACAATGCCTGGAGGACGACAACTGCGAAAAAATGGATTTCCCACATGGACAAGACGAAATGCGTATGAAATGGAACTATTCTCTACAAGGCCATCTTCTCTCTGAACACTCTTCATCCGACCATTATGGCTGCTTTACGAGATGTTCTGTTAACTGCCAGTGTCTATCATTCAACTTTAAAAGCGACAGCGGAGTTGAACCAAACTGTCAACTAAACGGGGCTGCCTCGTACACAGATCCTGAATCAATAAAACGGACAATAGGCTGGACGTATATTGAGATGGTTCGGAGCTACCTCACAAAGGTAAATTTAGATTTCTATAACAAAGAAACGGTTCTCAGGTTCTAGCTAAACGAAGGGCAATATTCAACTACTTTTTGGTTAGATACACTTTACAGTGCAATGCTGATCTGCCAGTGCCAAAAATAGTACGAAAATGTTGGAAAGTGCTTTCCCGTCGAAAACTTTGGTATGCAAAGTCTGCACCGGACCAAAGTATCCCATATCGCAGGGGCTTATCCCGGTTTCAGTAGAATTAAGAAAGAGTATTTACTCCCCTCCCCAACCCCCTTGAAAGGGATGCCAGGCAACCACAGGTTTATCTGTGTGGAGGTAGGTACTGTGAGAGTAACGTGCTTTGATCAAGAACACAACACAAGGCTCAACTAAACATTAAACAGCTAGAGAAAAGCACCCAATATTTTCTTCGAGCAAGTACAAAACAAATTGATTGTAAATTTAAACAAAGCGTAGCAGGGCAAATTAAATTGATTAAAGAATTTGTTTAAAGAATAATCAAATAGATCAAATCTCTTCTAATTCACGAATGAGAGGAATTACTTTTTTTCAGCCTCCCTGGAAGATCTGTTCAAGTGACTCATGTCACAACGGATGCTGTCAATCAACTCCGTGTGAAAATGGCGGCACTTGTAGTGTAGTGTGTGACATCAGAGCTAAAAGATTCAAGTGCGCATGCCCGCCTGGCTATACCGACCACAAATGTCAGGAAGCGCAGAGATCATGTCACGACATCTTACTATCTGGAAGTCACGCGAATGGAATTTACCTAATACGTAATGAGGCAAACGAAACTCTAAAAGTTTATTGTGATTTTGATTCCGAGCCGGGCGCAGCCTGAACTCTAATACAAAGCTACTCGCTTGAGAAAGGCCAAACGGGCAGGATAGATAATGACATATTCAGCGCAAAAACCCTGTTTGAAGATTTTCCTGTAAATGAAGTCTCTCCTGACGACTGGTCGAGTTACCGTCTGTCGCTGGCTGATATCAAGTTAATTGGAACCCACTCCACTCACTGGAGAGCAACTTGTGAATTTCCAACAGTGGGCATCGACTTCCGGGATTACTTTCGCGCGCTGCTCCACGATTATGATGTCATGGAAGAGCCGCCGACGTCCATCACATCATGCAAGCGTTACTTATGAGTTCATCAACACAAGAGGGAATCAGTGTATGAATCGCCATGCTCGGACGGTTGTCTTCAAATACAGAGCATCGTATGTATTGAGCTATTTTCCTCCTGGACAAGGATTATGTAACTTTTATGGGTCACCTAACGGGGGAATAGCTGGTGAGCATAATTTTGGTTATTACAGAACTCCAAATCCGGCCTTTCGTTGCTCTGCAGGAAATGATTCCACTACCCAGTATTGGTTCGGCAAAATGTGACGACAAGACAATGCGAAGAATAGGCGACAAACTTTCACAAATTTTGTGAACACCCAAGGGACCATGGCTGCCTTTCGTTCTTAACTCTTAAAAATGATTCCAGCCACACTTCAATATTTATGCGTCAGCTGACTATTTTGAATAAAAACTGTTTCACTATATTGTATAATAAATCTATCAGTTTGATGCTGTTTTAATAATTAAATGTGAAACCGTACTGTGACCTTAGATTTCTTTTGAATCTTGATCACTAGGTGCAAAATTTTTAAACATTGAATAAATCGTCATTCAAGAAAGAAAAAATGTGGATCCACGATTTGGTTTTTCGGCAGGTCATGCTGTGGCCGTGGCTACCATGTTTCAGGAAGATTTTTATATATTATTCACAAATGATTGGGAACAGGCCACTTTCGATATATTAGAATTCAGCTTGATAGTGAGGCCTAGAGGACACAAACAAAAGAAATGAATAAACATGGTCATTCAATTTCCTTTGTTTGTGTCCTCTAAGCCTCACTGCC